AGTACTTTTGCCTGTATACCTTTCTTCATCCTGGTATGAGGACCCTGCTATATTCACTTAAAACATGTTGCTAACACTCTTTCTCACCTAAAGAGTTTTTTTTTCTCTACAAAAGTTTTGTAGCTGAACTTATCCTTGGCATAACTGCTCTGATATCTATTGTAGCCTCAGTAGCTGGGTCTGCCACAGCTTTAACTCAACAGACACAAACTGTTCATCATGTTAATTCCTTATCTAAGAATGTGTCTATGGCTTCAGTCACTCAGGAAGGAATTGATCACAGATTAATAGATAGAATAAATGTCTTAGAAGAGGCCATACTTTATCAGATTCAGAATATTAAGACACGTTTAACAGCATCGTGTCACGCTGACTACAAATGGATTTGTGTCACCTCTTTGCCTTTCAATGGATCAGATATGTTCTGGGAACAGGTGCAAGCTCACCTGAGAGGTGTCTGGAATAGCTCCCAGCTAGGTGTAAATATAGACACGCTACACTCCCAGATTAGTGCCGTCAGCCATCCCAGACTCCAGTTTTCCTCTGCAGTAGAAGTAACTATTTCGCCTATTCAGTAAAAGAATTCATGAATAACAACTCGTTTTGGATCTCCTTGTAAGTGTAGGAGCTATGGGAGCACTAATCATTGTACTTTTATTTCTTATTCCAGTCATCTTCAGATGCTTAGGATCAGTGGTACAAGTAGCCCAAAGAGAAATCCATACACTTCACTTATTGAACGAGAAAGCAGGAAGTGTCACGACCCACAAGGATATGAAATAGAAACTCCAGCTGTATATAGTAAGCTTATACCAGTCAAGGGTCTGTCAAATGGAAAGTCATTTATCACAGAATATTTGGTGTTTCACACCTTTAATATTTAGCTGCGTATTGCTATGAATTCCCTGCGCTTATAATTCTCCCAGAATGTGTGAATGTGTGAACCTCCCTCTTAGGCTTTTATATGCTCAAAGTGCTAGGATAAAGTCCTGTAGGCAGAACTTTCTGGCTCTGAGCTCCCATTTTTAGCGTTTGAATTGGGTATGTGCTTTTTGCAAATATTTCCTTCTAGCCACATCCAAAGATGTGCATAGCTTTGTTTATTGTGCAAATCAAGTTCAGATCTTCCACTGCCCCAGAGCAACTTCTTAGATCAAAGGGGTTTCCCCTCACCAGGCGCTCCAAGCTGTGATGCAGATTGACTAGCTGCCAGTACTCCTCCCCCGCCCTGTCAGAAAACTCGTAGCAGAGAAAAATAGTGGCAGTTTTATTTTTAATGACTTACAGATTTCTTTACCCTATCACCTGTAAGTTTATAGTTTGAGCACATTTATGATAGACTCGTCATGTTTTCATCTAACCACAGTAAGGATAGATTCCTAGCACATAAATTCCTTCTGTGATTTAGTCCAGCTCCTAACTAACTCTGCCTTTATCCTCTTCTTCTTTTTGGGTTGCAAATGAAGTTGCCAGGAAGCTTCTGGTGGGGACCTTGCAAATTCTTATGTTGTATTGTAAACATGAAGGTGTTGCTGGCTTGGGAAAGATATAGATGAGCCCCAATAGAAGTGGGCTGAGTTTTTGGACAGAATGTTGGTGGCGGACGAATAAACCAGTTGGACGAAAGAGCTCCGGGTATCTAGATTCATTCCCACAGCTCTGGCAGCGTCGCTTCTGGGCACCCGGGGATAGTATAATATTAAGGCTAGTCCTATAATATTATCTAAAACACACACAAGTAAGTAAATAAATAAATAGTTTTAAAAGATATGCAAGTCAGAACTATAAAATAGAGGCTGAGGTTGTGGTTCAGTTGCAGAGTCCTTGCCTAGGATTCACAGAGCCATGAATTCTGTCCCCAGAATCACATAAAATGTGTGGTGGCACACACTTGTATTTGGGAAATGAAGACAGATGAACCAGGAGCTTGGGGTTATCCTTGGCTATAGAGAGAGTTGAAGGCCAGGGTATGTAAAACCCTGTCTAAAAAACAAACAAAAAGTAGTCAGTGAGATGGCTTATGGGGTAAAAGCCTTTCCCATGAAATTTTGAAGACATGAGCGTAAGCTCAATTCCTCAAAACTATGGTGGAAGGTGAGAACCAGCTCCCACAAGTCATCCTCTGACTTCAACATGATTCATGGGATGCACGTGTGCACACACAAAAATAATAAGATGAAACTTTGTGAGCAATTAAAAAAACAAGTTATGGGGGATGAAGAGATGGCTCAGCAGTTAAGAGCACTGACTGCTCTTCCAGAGGACCTGGGTACAATTCCCAGCACCCACATGGCAGCTCACAACTGTCTGTAACTGCAGTTCCAGGGGATCTAAGACTCTTGGCAAAGCACCAATGCACATAACATAAAAATAAATAAATCAAAAGAACTGTGTGGGGCCTGTCCCCACTTTTTCCCCCGGGGTACTCTTGAGCAAGGAGAAGTGAGAAATATTTAGGTAGAAATACAGAGGAGAGATAGACTACAGATAGAAACACAGGATAGCCTTGGGAGGGCCTGAGTCAACACTCACCAGCAGCCTTCTGTCTCTTCTAAAGGGCTTTTAAAGGAATGCCAAGGGGTGGAACAAAAGATCTCCTCCCAGCACAACCAAGTACAGAACATTCCAAACACCTGGTAACTACGCACACATGGTCAAGCCACCCCCTAATGCAGCCCTGCTGTGTAAAGCAAGCTCAGATCTCACTAGGAAACCTCTGTGGACCCCAACAAACAACAAAACAAACAAAAAAACCCAAGCCATAATCAAAAATGTTATTTGCATTGTAACATAATAAAAACATAATGTATGGGTGCAGGAGTGGGGGGGCATCACCTCTTACATGAAATAAGCCAGACTGAGAACTTCAGGTCCAAAAAAACCTTTCTGTTATGTGCAGAATCTAGAAAAAGCAAAATGCTATGAAAGTAGAAGAGAGACCATTAGAGATGCTGAGGGGAGCAAGCAAGAAGAGAGGGCAATTGAGAGGCGATTGAGATCAAATCACACTCTGCAGGATATATGCCAATAACAACTTAAAATCACAATGAGACATCACTTCACACCCATTTCAAGAACAATTGCTAAAAAGAGGAAGTGGCAAGTTATTGAATCAGACAGAGGAACTGAAACTCCAGAATGTGACATGGTGCAGCTGCTACAGAGAGCTTGATGGTGGAAACTCCAATAGACACAGACACAAGCAGCATCTGAACCAGCAACTTGTCTCCGACTGTGCACACTGGAAGCTGAGATCAGGTTCTTAATAATGCCCATGATCCATAGATGGGGCACCAGAACATGGGAGTCCCTTCTTATGTCCAGCTGACCAATGTTCAGAGCTCACTGTATGTTTGATTAATGGATGAGTGAAAAAGTGCAGGCTTCAGTTTTCCCAGACCGTCCTCCTGCCAAGACATTCGTCACAACCCTACAGCATCCTGCATCCTTCAGTACCTGCCACCTGATGAGTATAGAGGGGGCTGTGACACTGTGAGGCCAGGCATGAGGGCCCCAGCTCATGCTGTAAACAGTAGTGCCCAGAAAGTCACTCAGAAGTTGAGTGTGGTACAGTGAAATGCTGACTTCAGGGCAAGACATAGTTTGTGTCAACTTGACACAAACTAGAGTGATCTGAGAAAGGAAACCTCAGCTGAGAAATTGTGTCCATCAGACTCGTCTATGGGGCATTTTTTTTTTTTTATTGCTGATTGATGGAGGAGGGTCCAGTCCACAGAGGGAGGTGCCATCCAAGGGCAGATGTTTCTGGGTTGTATAAGAAAGCAGGCTGAGCAAGGAAGAAGCTGCAAGCCAGTAAGCAGCATTTATCTATGGCCTCTGTCTTAGTTCCTGCCTCCAGGTTCCTACCTTGAGTTCTTGTCCTGATTTCCCTCAGTGATAGAGAATGACCTAAAAGTTATAAGATGAAATAAACTCTTTCCTCTCCAAGTTGCTGTTAGTCACAGTGTTTTATTAGAGCAACAGGAAACCAAACCATTGCAGAACTATTTTCTGTGTGGATTATGGAGGAGGACATTTGTCTTTAATTGAGTACCCAAGGGTGTGCCCACCAGGCCCCAGTGGATAGCTCCAAACCTGTAGACACACAGACAGTCCTGGTTAAAATTCATGGGTCACAAAACAAACCCAAAAGACATTAATGTGGGGGAAAGACCTGTATGGAGAGGGTGACAAGGATCAAAGGGAGATGTGAGGATGGGAGCAGGAGAGGTAATGATGCATTGGATACATGCATGCTAAAGAATGAGCTTAATCAATAAGAAAAGGAAATTGAGTGTGATAGGTGCCTGTAATCCCTGCAAGAGAGAGGCTAATAGGGGAAAACTAGTTCAAGACCAGCCTGATCTACATAAAAATATCAAGTATCAAAATCACCAAGGGCTAGTGGTGAGTTCAGTGGTAGGGTGTTTACGAAAGACCCCAGGCTAGACCCACAGCACTGCAAGAGGTGAAAAGTGGTCACTTAGTGTGGTGATATTTTGTGTATGCTCTAACAAATAAAGCTTGCCTGAAGATCAGAGGGCAAAGCCAGCCACTAGTTAGCCTTAGAGGCCAGGCAGTGGTGACACACACCTTTAATCCCAGCACTAGGGAAGCTGAGACAGGAAGTGATATGGCTGGGTGGATACATAAGGCAGGAGGAGAAAGGAGTTCAGCTTTTTCGGCTGAGGAGTTGGTGAGGTGAGAGGTGTTCCTTTGCCTCGCTGATCTTTCAGTATTTACCCCGCTATCTGGCTCCGGGTTTTTATTAAGACCAATTAGGATTCGTGCAACAGAGTGGGAGGACCTGATATGTCCCCTGTGTCTGGTTCTGACTCCGTGGTAGGATCCCCTCCCTCCCTCCCTCCTTCCCTCTGCCTCCTTCCCCTCCCCCTTCTCTCTCCCTCCCCTACTCTCTCTTCCCTTTCCTTTAGGTGGTTCTCTAACATCTGTTGGGGCCTTAGCCTCAGGGTTTCCATGTACTCTGTGGTGAGGGTAGGAACATGAGCCCTCTGTGGTTCCTCTTCTGTGAACTGAAGTCTCTGGCTTCTTTCCAATTTCAGAGGATTCTGCAACACTTTCTCTTGAACCTGACCTCCCATCTCTACTCACTCACAGAACCCCAGGAGCTCTTCCCAATGCAGCTACTTCTGCTGCTGCTCTTGGTGTGGATGCATCACTGGACACTCAGAGCCAAGCCTTCTACTGCCACAGAGTGCAAGGGTGATAGACACAAGGCGGAAGTGGAGATGGTGCTGGTACAGGAAGGCCTCTGTGTCCTTGTGCCCTGCACATTCACCGGTCCTAGGGCCAATTCTGCTCAAGTTTATGGCTCTTGGTTCCACACAGGGGCTGACACAAGTCAAGACTCTGCAGTGGCCACAAACGACCCAGAACAGCAAGTGCTGAAGGAGACCCGGGGCCGATTCCACCTCGTAGGGGACATGAAGAGCAACAACTGTTCCCTGGATATCAGAGATGCACAAAGAGGTGACAACGGTTCCTACTTCTTCATGGGAAAGCAGCAAAAAAGGTTACAGTGGAGTTCCTGTAAGAAGCCAGTGTCTGTGCATGTGACAGGTAAGTTGTAGGCTCCCACCATTAGGGAATGTCATGGTGCCACAGGACAGGCCTGGGATGGGACCCCGTTCTGAAAGTGGCTGAGGTTGGAGCATCAGGACTCTCACAGGAGCTAGAGCAGAGTCAGGCCTTTCCTCCCAGCTGCACCTCACCCACTACCTGATCCTACATGGCTCCCCTCTCTTCACCAGCCCTCACATACAACCCACACATCCTCCCGCTGGAGACCCTGAAGCCTGGCTGTCCCAGAAACCTGACCTGCTCTGTGCCCTGGGCCTGTGAGAGGGGGACACCCCCCATCTTCTCCTGGATGTCAGCTGCCCTCACCTCCCTGGGCCCAAGGACCACTCTCTCCTCAGTGCTGACCCTCACACCCAGGCCTCAGGACCATGGCACCAACCTCACCTGTCAGGTGGCCTTCCCTGGAGCTGGTGTAACTGTGGAAAGGACCATCCAGCTCAATGTCACCTGTGAGTAAAGACAGAACACCCTGTCCATGAGGATGTAGAGACAGGAAGATGGGGCTGGAGAACCATGGTGGGTGAATCCTGAAAACCTGGTGAACTAGGGACACAGAAGGGCACCAGAGCCTGTTCCTCTACTAGGCTGATTTCTGGGATGGTGTCAAAGGTATGACATGCTCATTATCTCATTATCTCATGCTCACCCCAAGTAAAGAGAGAATCCCATTCTCTGTTCATATGCTACAGAGAACCAAGATTGCTGCCTTACCTCATGCTCACCCCAAGTAAAGAGAGAACCCTATTCTCTGTTCATATGCTACAGAGAACCCTCAATCTATGCCTCCCAGGATGTGGCCAGCAGTTACGGGAATGTAGCTGAACCAACTTCACTCAGACTTGATGTGGAATGTTCATCATGATCCACTCATCAAGCCTCCTCCCCAGGGATTTCTGATACTTGCAGGGATATCCATGAGAGACCAGTAACTTCTCCCCTGCCCCTCTGTACAGATGTTTTTCCTCCAGTCAGTGACCCTCCTGGGGGAATTTTTATAAAATGATCTTTAGTTTTCCGATTGGCTTAAGTTCCGCAGTCGGAGTAGATTTACCAGAATTTCCTACACACCTGCCGCACCCACAGTGCACAGCCTCCTGTGACACCATGAGATGCTCCATTGTCACAAAGGATGAGTCTTCACAGACATGTCACCATGACCTAGAGATCACAGGTCACATCAGGGTCCACTATTTGACACGTGTATGATAGGCTCCACCATAATGGTGTCAACTCTAAACGTCTCTTGGGGATGCTTTGTCAGCGTTACTGTTGTTACTGATGTTGCTGCTTGCTGCCAGTCCTGAAGCTCTTAACCCTGACCTCTGCCCAACCATCAGCACACTCCCTACCCTGCCCTGTTCACGCTGTTAATGGCATGTGGTCTTTACTGGACAAAGAGCCTATAAGAGCAGAGGAGATTCCCTCGGTAGTGTGGACAAGAGATGCTGAAACAGCTACCTGAATCTGTGTGGGAGGATCCCAGGAAGCACCGCCAGGCAGAACCACGTGGGCTCTCTGGGTCTGATTCAAGGCTCCAACAATTACCCTCCTAACCACTCTCATCCACCCTCTCCGTAGGCACCAACGGCCACGTTGACCCTGAGGGATGGGCAAAAGAGACCTGGAGAGGGACTCAGATAGCATCCTTGGGAAGAAGAGAGAGGAGAATATGAATCCATGCACTCTCTGTCACTGTCTGTAGTTGGATGCTTCAGAGAGCAGGATTCTGGTCCTGCTGTTACCAGCACATAGTAGGGGGGGGGGTCATCTTTTTGCTCTCTTGGGGTAGAAACCATAGTTGGTCAAGAAGCTTGTAATGGTCTTCATCACTTTCTGACCCCTGTTCCCTGGGTGTTTGGCAGCAATGAGCAGAGGCAGGTGGAGCAGAGGCAGGAGGCAACTCCTAGTGTTCCACTTCTGCAATTGTGTTAGGACCACTAGCCCTACCAGAGTGACAGTTCTGTCCAGGTTGAGGGAAGTTCTCTGACTTGAAAGCTCCCTGGAAACCTTCCGGGTTCTTGGGCTGTATTGTCCTCTGACTCCTCATACATTCATAACTTTCTTCTCGGTTCCTCTCAGCTCTCCACCTCTCCTGTTGCTCTCCTTCTGATGGCTTCTTCTTCCTCTGTTGGAGATTCTGAAAGTGTCAGAGGCTGGCTGCCTTGTCCCCTCCATGCTGCCTGCTGACTGGTCAATAACTGTTCCCTTTCTCTCAGCGGGCTACACCCCACTATGCTTTCTCTTCTGCTTTCTTCTTCTTGGTACCAGTTCAGCCTACACTACTGAAAAAAGACCAGAAAAACATTTCAAAAGAAGCTTTTCACGGAACCTCATGCTGTGACACCTATATTTCCCAGCCCACTCTGAAAGAAGCTAAGGCAGCCTGTGTCTATAAGCTAAAAGGGTGTTTGGACCAATCACAGCCTCACCTCTTCACGGGGGGGGGGTGGGGGGGTGGGGGGGGGGGGGGTCCCTTTCTTCAGCCACTGGGGAAAATGCTTCCACTCTGGTTCCAGTTAAAATAGTTTCAGAGTCATTTGGAGCTCTTTGAAAATTGTGAAAGCAAAAACCCTTCCAAACCCCTCTGGCTGGGGCTGGCCCTTCAGGAACCAAGATAACCAGCTGTGAGCTGGGAAGTGCTCCGGCTGTCTGGTGTTTGCATAAACACAGAGTAGCTAGCTTCTGGCTGCTTAACTAAGAACACTTTTGCTCAAGGGAGCCAAAGAAGCAAGAGACAATCCAACACCCAGTGACTGGGGAGTCTGATTGCCCCATCTCCCAACATCCTTGCCTACTTATGAGAAAATAAACTTCAGAAGGAAGCCTTACAACAAGAATAAAGAATGAAACATTAACCCTCACAGAGACTTTCACAGATTTCAACATTACATCAAGCGCTCAGCATCTTCCCAGTGCTCTGGGGAGAACTGTCCTCCTCATTATTTGTCTGTGTGTTTGATGTAGAGGTTCCAGGTAGAGAGGACATGGGTTCTGGGAGAGATGGACTCCAGTGGGCAGGAACACGACCTGGACAGGAGGGCTCAGGTGGACTGCGTGCTTTATCTGAGATTCTAGAAAAAAACGAGCTCCTGTGGTGGGAAACAGACTTTGTGTCTGGACCCCATCTCAGAGATGAGAGCCCTGGAGAGGTACAGGCTTGCTCATCAAGATCAGAGCTCACCTAAGTCTCCTTCAGCAGGGAACCCAGGAGGAAAGTCAGCTTCAGGAGTGATTCTGGGAGCCATCGGGGGTGCTGGTGTGACAGCTCTGCTCTCCGTCTCCATCTGCCTCGTCTTCTTCATGTGAGCCTCAGCTCTGGGTCGGGGACAGGTGACTGGGAATACGAAGAGGAAGGGACTGAGAGGGCTGTGAGAACATGTGGCCAGAGCACAGGCTGCAGGGTGTTGAGAACCCAGGTGGCAGCCTCTGGCAAGCACAGATCTGCCCCATCTAGATGTCTAGATGTCTAGGAAGTAAGAGTAGTTCTTGTCACAATCATGTCATAAGGGACACTTGACAAGTGCTCCTTAGACCTATCATGGTCATATATTCTATGATCATGACCATAACCCCTAGTTTGAGGAAACCAGACTGACCGAGTCATTTGCCTCCCATCAGAGTGAAGGCACACAGAAAGAAAGCAGCCAGGACTGCAGTGAGCATGAGCCACATGCACCCCACTGCTGAGTCACTTTCCCAGGTAAGTGCCACAGGGACCCTGGAGCCCTTGGGACACTTCCTTGTGGGAGGAGAACATGGTGGCATCCCGTTAAGCATATACAGATCGGAACGTGTCGCTTCCCCCTTGCTGATGGTCTTGATATACATGTGGTCTTTAAGTATAGTGAGGCCTGCCAATCATTAGACCTTTGCTATTGAAAAAGAGTATAGAAATCACTTTCTAGGAAGGAGGGGCTTGCTGGGCCATGTAAAGCTACATGAGGCAACATCAGGTCTGTTCATCATCAGTGAAGGTGAGGGGACAACATAGACAGGAGCCCTGACTGTGGAGTTCATTAGAAAGAATTAATGGAACAGGGTGAGCAGACTGGGCAGGCTGGGCAGCTTAGATCAGCCACTCTGAACATCAAGGCTATTTCTATTCACCTGGTAACCGAACCTGGGGTTGTGGGGTAGAAGGACAGAGCTCCCTAAAGGATATGGTTGGGTTAGATGTAGGACTGGGGTGTGCATGGGAAAGATGCACATGCAGCCAGGTCTTTCATTGTCCCTAGAAACTCTCTTCCAAAAAGAAACAGCACCTCCAGGGTCAAAAGCCCAGATGAGAACATCACAAACACAGTCATCAATCCCTGAACATGCTTCTGTTGATGTCTCTCCATCTCTGTGATGGTACTTGTGTCCCCCTACCCAATCAGCACCCAGCCCCTGTACATCCCAGGTCCTTCTCTGCAGTATGTCACAAAGAATGTCTGATGCTTCTGAATATATAGTGTAGTGCCAATCCATGGAGTGTGAGACCAGGGGACAAGTTCCAGGCCAGCCTAGGCTACGCAATAAGATTCTGTTTCTAGCCGGGCGGTGGTGGCGCACGCCTTTAATCCCAGCACTCGGGAGGCAGAGGCAGGTGGATCTCTGTGAGTTCGAGGCCAGCCTGG